ATGTATTCGTGTTTCACTAGATTCGGAATAAGAAAATTTAAGTCACTCCTGTCAATGCATATACACATTTCATTTTTTTTTTAAATTTAAATATTAACATCACAAATAAATTGCAAAATAACTGATATCTGGGACAATGGGCAGTACAAATTTATCTCATTTTCCCCAGTTCAATCTCCGAAGATCTTGCTGAATTCTCTTCGTTTTCCAGAAAATAGTCTGCGATTATATACTGAGAGAACCTGTGCTCTAGAAATAACAGCTAGCTTCATAGTTGTAAATGACTAATCAGCGTGTCTTAGTTACGCTATCCGCCAATGCCTCAAGGGGCTAGTGGTTTATCCCAATGGCAAAGCAGACAGCGTAAACATTAATTTATGAGTAGCAAATATAAGCCTTAATTTGATAAATTATGTAAATATAATGTACCATCAAAAATCGAATTCACTCCCTTCTGGGCGAAAATAGTAATTGCTTTAAGAAATAAAATCCTTTATGGAACAATCAAATGATAGTGGTATGTGCATCCAGCCGATCTAGATGCATCTTTTTCATGTAAAAGTATCTACCTACAGATATGACAATGTGCACTGTCACATCTTTACAGGAGATTTTGATGAGCATGTAAATAACGCCAAATCTGACTATAAATTCCACAACTGTTAGATGCTCTTGAAATAAGATTATCAAGAAATAGTGAAAATACAGATCCCCAAACATTTAAATATAACATGCACATTGATAACATACTGATGAAATTACTTCCTGCTTTGTTCTAAGGAGTCCAAATAACAGAATTATTTACTCTCCTCAGACCAGAATGAGGCAACGACTGGTACAAGCATTCGCTCTCCTAAGCATGTGAAAATAGTTATTTACGTAAACGCAACAGGGAGTCCTTGTTGTGCGAATGAAATGTTGACGGACGAGACGACGATAGGAGCTCACTACGACATTTTGAAATTAATACGCTAAAGACATTCGTAAGATTTGCGAACATTATTTTGTCGCCTTCTTACGTCCTTTAGTAACGTAATGGATAAATCTCTTTTTCCTATAGGTAGTAAATTACTTTCTGTAGCATACGCAAGTCAGAATCCACGTTTTGTCAGCTTTGATACCTAAAAATTGTTTTACTGTTATTTGATGTTTCCGAGAGCGTCAACCGCTATGGTCATTGGTCCCGAAAATATAACGCATGTTCCGATGATGAAATTCAGCGCAGACTTCCACGTCGACTGGTGGGTCCCTATCTAGAGACATCCCACCAGCGGGGCACTGCCGCAGCCGGAACCGCTCAACTCCTGAATGATCTCCCGACACGTGACAGTGTAGTGTAGTGCGTGTGTGTATGTTTGGGTGTATACATAAGGGGGAAGGATAGGGCAAGGAGTAGGAAGGAAAGATAGTACGCGGTCCACGGCCCGATTGTGACAGTACTGCTCCGGCATTCATCGGAGACACCGTGTAAAACTACCAATCAGAGAGCCGACAGCTTGAAATAGAAAATGAATTCGACCCGGCTATGTAGGTAATGTCGACAAACCTGCCGCCATAGGTACTGGAAACCTAAAAAATTCCGGTCAGGGGCACTGCAGTAATATCAGCTGATTCCCTGAGCTACCTCAGCCGGTTTGGTTTACTGCACAACTTCTGCCCACCTGTGAACAATGCTAGCACATAAACCACTGAGACGATTTTCTCTAAATTTATATTCCCCGATCGATCTTAAAGACTCGGAGAATTTGAAATATTTTGATTTTTGAGGATAGTTAATATAAAGCCTTAACATTTCTGGTTTCTCAAATATGACTAAATTCTATTATTTTTTTTATTCCTTGGATAGAGTAAAAGGGCGCTTATAAAATGATTCGGGTCTCAATTTCGTAGAACTTTGAATTTTCAAAAATTACAAAAGTTCATTTTTTGGTGCCACTATTACAAATTGGAAGTAGAGATTTTGTTGAAGTGAAACATGTTCTACAAAGATCTAAATTAGGGCAAATACCATTTTTGGAAAGTAGTAGTTTCCGCGTAGTTTTGAGAGAAATATAGGTATCTTCTAAACCATTATTTTGTCAAAAGACACTCCAAATTATTTCTTTCAGTTTTTTCTCGAAGAGAACGAAGTACATTGACAAAAATTACACAGGTTTCGGGTAACTGTATTTTCGAAAATTTTAAAAATGACTATCTCAAAATTAAAATATTAATTAAGATTTTCCCCTTCATGAAATTGTTCTAAAACAATTTTATCTTTAAATAAGGTCACGTATATATTTTTTTTAAAAAATCTCAAAAAGAGGATCCAATTTTTCTTCAATTTTTCCCTTGAATAAAACAAAGGCCGCTTAACAATGGCGTAGGAATATTTTTTATTAAACATACTGAATTTCTGAAAATTGTAAAAACTTGTGTAAAAGTGCGTGAAAAATAATGCGTGAAATAGTGCTGGTGAAGCACCCTTAGCTATTTTAGAACGAATACATGGAAACTGAACACGCACGTATATATATTTAGTTTGCAGGTTTTTTCCTGAACTCTGCTTTTCATCCTTCCCCATTTTCATATTTTTTGTATTACGTAAGGATTGAAAATGCGGTTTGTCACAAGTATGTATTGAAATGCGATTGTTCGTTATTTCAACTTCATTTAAAGGAGGGTTATATCACAGGATATTAATAGAATATTAAAACTGAACACACTGCAACAGTTTTGTATGGAATGTATTTAGTATCTTCAAATACTGATATCCCTTCCCACCTGACCGCGCGCTAACAGAGGGAGCGCAGCGTGACCTTGAATGGCGAACTGTTACATTCAAAATATCCGTTAAACACTATTCGCAGAAAAATCAAAATTACTCACAAAAATGCTCATCAAACTTGTGACATTATGTATATCATTGGACTTTTTTTTACGCTCGCCATGCTAGACTGGAAGAATATGTAAGAGATATATTTAAAAAAAAGTTACCTCAAATATCTCATAAAATACAAATAATAAAATAGAAATGAATACGCATATAAATTAGTCCATTCCTTCACGCACTTCCGTGAAAACTGCATTGCAATAACTTCAACCGTGCACTAAGCCATTCGGAATATCCAAGTAGATTCTTAGACAAAATATGCTTAGGGGCTTATTTAGGAAGATTCAATGTTTTCTTCTCGGATATCCTATATATATATATATATATATATATATATATATATATATATATATATATATATATATATATATATATATATGTGTGTGTGTGTGTGTGTGTTTTTAATTTGGCGCACGCTGCCGCAGAGAAATACTTTCCAATCAATAAACAGTTAAAGCAACTAGTTCTCGTGAATGAGTGCTGAAGAGCAAACGTCTCTGGACTCTTCACAAAATTTCAATTGTTTTCACTTTCAAAATTCCAAGACTCTCACGGTTTGCTGACCATTCCGGTGAAATTGATGTTTATGCGAATCAAAAAGGCTACGAAACTAAAAATCGCCAGAAACAAGAAACCGGTAGAGGTAGCGTCCCAACTATTGAGACAATAAAATTCACCTTCTAGAGTAGCGCAACTGCCGCCAAGTAATATCTGCTCATCTGAGCGTTCAGGGTTGCCTGAGCTCATCTGAGCCAAGCAGCGTTCGGGTTTAAAATTGTAACAACTGAAACCATAATGGAGATTTTGAAGGATATTAATGGTTTGGAACTGGTGGTTCCCTACACACAAATTAACGCAAATCTCGAACTCCTTTGACAACTGGGGTTGATATGTCGGAACGGCATCGGTGGCACGATGAAATGAGCACTGTGTACAGAAACTAGACAGTAAGACCTCATTAAAGCGAATTCCAAGAGACCAAAATAGTCGGAGTTCGTACGTATAAAAAAATCGTGTCATTCGATCATTTGAAATAACCATATTACTGTAAACCCTTGCCGGGACCTAAGTTACGGCGAAATTCTGTGTTAACAAGGGTTTACTGTATATGGCCAAAGACCTGCGAAAGCGCATGTCTAGGGGCAGATCCAAAAAGCAGGACGGAGGAGGGGGCCCTTCCAAACCGACCCTCAAAGTAAGGATTTTTTTAAGTAAAGTAAAAGTTAAGTGAAGTTTTTTAAGTAAAGTGAAGTAAAAATATTTTAAAATGGTTAGATTAAAACAAAAAAATTGTATTCTTCACGGATTTTTTTTAAAAATTTGAATATCATGCAAACGAGTACCGTTCTGAACTCAAACGCGTACGATACAGAAGATCAATATACAAGCATATTTATAACATTAAATGATACTCCATCCGTAATTGTAATGCATTACAATACTTTCACTAATGATGTTACGCTGAACGTAACACCTCAATTAATTTCTATTGGCAATATTAAATGCGGGTGATCAAGTGGCCATCCAAAAGAGGGTACGAGATCTGTAGGGAGCTTCTTGCATAAAGAACTGGTGAAAGTCTTGATCGGAGAAGAACGTCCACCATATTATTACTTCGTTTTCTACCAGCGCGATATTTAAACTTTGTGAAATTGCCATTCAATTAAAATTTGTGAAAACACACTTCTCTGGTTACAAACTCGGAATGGTAATTACTGATGGCGGCGCAGCAGATGTGGCTATTGGGAGGAGCACTAACCAGCGTATCGTTTCCAGGAATTGTAATCAATAGATTCAAGGTTAAGGAGCTCTTTCCATGACCAATGGCAATGTCGCGACCCCCACTTCGCTCTGGGACTCCCCCTCAAGTACAAGTTACAACTCATTTTGTTTACACTTGGAGAACACGTGGCAGTAAATCGAATCGTGGAAACTGGGAAGTGGAGAGGGGCCTTAGCAAGCGCATCGGTGGGCAGTTCCGTCCTACCCACGTCGGGAAGTAGCCACGAAAATGTTCCCAGCGGTTACGAACGGATGCGGTTTTAGGGAGGATTGGGCATGGGGCTGCCCTTCGTGGCGCCCATTAATAGAACGTCTTTTACATTACAAGGGCCAATTTATCGGGTTTTCAGATACCTTCCAACTGCGTGTGGTTTGCACTTGCATTACCATTTTCGCTTTTCATTCCTGATATATCGTGTTCAAATGCATTGACAATGAGCTCGATGCTATCTGATGTAAATAAATTACTATAATTAACAAACATTTTAAATCGTCATTCGCACCCAGATCACAAAGACAGACTCACACCATTTCGTGCATTTTCTCAAAGCAGTCATCACAATGCTTAAGCCTGACGAACGATATATATATCAGTGAATAATACACAACATGGCATTTCAATCTGCATTCCGAAAATGTAACACATACATACAAAATCCCCTTGCACTCGTTTCTAGTAATACGAATTCTGACAAATAATATTTTTGATATTCTAAATGATACCTTTGAAGAAAGTGTTACAAGTCCATATAAGATTCCCATATAATTCCTTGGCAGAAACAATTAAAGATTTCAAAAAATACCTTCGCCTTTAAGGAATGGGCGATACCTACTACACAGTATTTCAATCAACAAACATTTCAATTTTTTGCACTAATCGCAGAACATGAATAGCGACATGCATATACACAAAGGCAGCTATTCTATTTTGTCCATCTATGTTCCTGGATTGATTGTAAGCGCCCATGCGGTTCGTCCCAAGGTCAAGTCCTTGACCGGTCAGACTAGATATTTTTAACTGGGGGACCCTGACACGTACGAGGCAACCGCTCTCCTACATGACCACGATCTTCCACCATTTCCCTTCTTAGGGTTGATTTACTTAATTTCACCTTCCTACCAATCTTAACACGAAATACTTAACACTGTTCACAATTGTTATATAACCAATTACTGGTAACGTGTTCCACTTCGCAAACCATTATAAAACAATAAATGAAAATCACACAATTCCACGGAAATAAACGTATCACTGATTACAAATTAATATACCATAACACAAAATCCTCACATAATACTATTTTTAAAGAACAATACTGGTAATCAATTTACATATTTTTTTTCCATTTCAAGAACAGGTTTTTGAAAGTTGTATTAATTATCATGTCAAAAACTGATGTAATTACAATTGAAAACTTTCATTTAAATTCTTCCAATGGATTCACCAAATTAATTATCTTCCTAACCTTAATTCATTTTACTATTTATTCTTAACATTCAGGCATTTGATAAACATTTCAAAAAGTCTTTACATGTTTGTAAACATGATTTTAAGACAAAAGAACATTGGCAAAATGTAATATAAATAATACAATCGCACAAAGAACCGTGCCCACTTAAAATGGAACGATCTCATACCTGTGCAATTTCTTCGAACAGGAAGAAGTTCAATGGTTACATTTATAATGAGAATTTTAAGTCAATCAATATGGAAAACAAAGAAAAATCTATTATTTAATAATAAATTTACAGAAATTCAGTTTGAATTTATAATTACAAAAATTTACTTTCTATCACAATACAAATGAGATGCATAAAATTCAACCTTGAAGTATAAACCGAGGAAGGATTAATTTTTTAGAATACAAAAGATTACTAAACAATGTTTTTTAAATTAATTTCACAATCTAGCTTACATGACAAACAATAATTATAATTTATCTTTTAACATTTTAATTAATTTAATAGAAACACTATACACAACAAAGACAAAAAATTACCAAGATATAAATTATACATTTCGAATCTGGGTAAAATGTAAGTAATAGGCAATAATAATTAACTATCAATAGTAATTAGTGGAAAAACTAATTACAAAGAAAATAGAATATATCCCATAATTGTTATGACATTCCAACACTTCATAAATACATTAAATAAGTAACATTAAGAACACAGCTGTTTCCCTAATGTTTGAATTTAATGCGACAACTACACGAATTACATTCGCCAATATATGAATAAGAAATCTACATGGGCGAGGACATAATTATGTTTCTCCCATACTAAAAATTAAAATTAACGCAAGACTGACAATGTGTACAATTATTTCAGTCAAACTAGAATACAAAATCCCCAAACCATTTCATTAATCACGCACGCTATTTTGAAAGTGCAAGTGAATTACAGTACAAACAGAAACAAAGACAAGTGGAACACTGCAAACGCCTGCCATTGACCGTCCACGAGCTGAATGATATTGTGGTACTTACTTTCGAAAGCTTGCAAGAACAATTCGTGATCAGCTTGAATTTGGTCCATCCTAGGGTTTTTTGTAGTTTCAGTGTCCTTATCACGCTTCTTCGGAGGCATTTTTATTCAATAAATTACACTTCTCGTAAAAAATAAACAACACTACTAACCCGCGAAGTACACACCACCACCGGTCGGTCACTCACCAGGCAGTGTTACAACCATTACAAACAGAAAACGCGGGCTCAACCTGCTCAATGCAGGCTAACCTGTTTGTAGTGGTTTGGAGATAAATATTACAAGAGTGGCTACCCTTACTTCGACGACTGGTGGCAGATATGAATACTAGAGACAACAGAACGTAGTTCGTATGCTGGCTGCGCGTTATCTGGCGTTATCGCAGGGTTGCCAGATTACACAGAACGTAATCTACTCAATACTTCCTTTCAATTTCCTTTATTCATTTTCCCATGTTCCGTTTATATACTGTTTTATTTACTATGTGGTTGTGACGTAATTAATTTTCTCATTTGCTTCTTTGACTACTTCACCCCCCTATTTTCTGTTAATATAGGCCGTTCGGATTATGTACTGACCGCTTGAATTTTCCGTGAAAATTATTCTTGCGGTTTTATTCCAATTCTGGAGAAACTTGTTGGGACAAATATACAGGTGTCGATATGATTCCAACCCCAAATTATATTTTGAGAAATAGTTTTGTAGACTTATGCCTTACGAATTGCTAATGCTAATTAAAAAAAAAAGAATGACAATATTTTATATATGGAATGTTTCATAATGGTGTCTAGCTTTAAAGCCCTTAGAGCTTTTTTGACTTTAAAAATTTATTTCTTATACAAAACTGTGTTCCCTTTACTGACAAAAAATATATACAGTTCTTTCATTACAGTTCCTCGCTTTCTGTGGTAATGAAAAAATTTAATTTTATGCAATTAATTGAAAGCAGTAGTGAAGTAAGAAATGTATTTAAAAATAAAGAAAAAAACGTGTTATTTATTGTTTAATGTAATGAAAAATAAAATGCTTTGATGTTGATGGATCTTGCTATCACAAGAATGTGATGTGAAAGTGCTCCAGAACTAGGAAGTATCACAAGGCCCTGAAATAGCACACATTAGAACTAACATGTTTTAAGAGACTGAATATTTTCCAACCATTTTTTGATGAGTCAAAAGAGTAAAACCTCTCAATTCATATTTTTCTTCTTTTGTTATTGCTATTAAACAATTTATACCTATTATTTTCTGAAATTGTCAATTAATATTACAATTATTTATATTGTAGAGAATTACAAATTACATATGCCTACATACCCATCTTACAATTTGCATATAGTATTATTTCTTTACATATTAATTTATATACATGTAAAATATTAATTTACACTATATATTTATTTTTATAGCCCTTGGTTAGCATTCCATGGTGCAGCCCCTGATGCAATTCCCGGTCGGCGCAAAACTTAATTGTGCACTTTCCTTGCAATGTCTCAGTATTTGTTGCTGTGACGATGAGAAAGCTCACTTCTCAGATTGAGAAGACCAGAATACAGCATAGGGATGGCTATGTGCTAACCACACATACCCCTTAATCTTTGGCCCCAAGACCAGGATGCGCTGGTAGGCCTTTGCTCATAAAGAGTTGTTGTGTCTGAGTACATACATATTTATTTTACATTTAATGAACAATTATTATTAATATACTAATTTTTGTATCAATATGTCAATTGTACGAGGAAGTTGAGGATGTGCAAACAATTCCTTATAAATTTGCTATGTTTTACTTTCTCATAAATTTATTTAATATAATCAACTGTGCCAGTGGTGTGAACACTGGGAGCCATGGCCCCACTGAAAATTTTAAAGGGGACGCACTTAATAAAACATTTTATTTCCAGTAAGCATGTTAATTCTCTACTGAAAATTAAATATAGAGGCCGTATATATATTTTAAAACTTACAATAATAATGGCAAACAGATGGACACATTAATTGATCCCATATTGTCACTGTATCTGATGTTTGAGTATTATTGCCTTACTGATTAGTGAAATATAATATGGTATATTTATTTTACTTAGTTGTTAAAGATGACATGTGTAGTGCTGTTGACTTTGACTCATTGACTGGCTATTTATTCAATTAAAATTATTTTTTAGATTATGACATTTTTAATTTTTTAACTTTATGAAATAATATTAAATCTTAAATAAAAAATGTGAAATAAAAATGTAAAAAATTCCTAAATTTTCCAAAAACAAAAAAAATTAAACATTGTACTTTGTGCACCTACAATGTATCAGATGAATTTGAGGTAGGAAGAAACTTTCAAATCCACCCTGGAAGTGGCCAATGTGGGCACAATATCCACATAAAAACCCTCAAAATTACACAGAAAAATTCCAGAAAGTTGGCCCAAAACAGCTAAAAATGTTCAAAACTGCCCAGAAATGCAGCCTAGTCGGTGTCGATTCCTCCTACAACTGGCCAAAAAAACACTTCAAAAATTGAAAAATTGTTTTAGAAGTTAAAGGTTGTGTGTGAATAAAAATGTTCAATGGATAAGGGGATTTGTATGTAGTTGATCACCTCCCCACTCTTTATTTTAAGCTGTGCATTCCTGTTGCTATATATTTTAATAATTTGTGTAATTTATTTTTAATATTTTGAAAATGAGGTCAGATGTGTTTTTCTTGTAATTTTTTGACATCAAGTAACTGATTAAATTGCCTAATTCTAGCATATTTAGGACTTTTCTCAAATATGGTGGTATTATGAGTTATTGGTTTGTATTGATATTTGTTTCTGGTGTTGTGATTGTGGACATCTTCATTTTTGACAATTAACAGGCTATTTTGTGATTCAATTGATAACAATTTTTCTTAACATGTTAAATAAGAAAAGGATGGAATGTTTTTTTCTTAAAAATATCTTGCAATGCGACTGGAATTCTCAAGGTTTTTTGTAGTTTTAACACTCTCTCCACCTGAAGTTACGTGCATTACCCCACAAACCTATGCAGTGAAGCCAAAGGAAGTAAAATTAATATACCCCATCTGTAAACGTTTGGAATTATATTATATTATATTTAATTTTATATTATAAAATATTATATTATATTTTATATTGAAAAGAAGTTACAAAATGACATGACAATTAGAGTTTGAGATATATATATAAAGAAAAATAAAAAGTAAATAATAAATATCAGCATCAAATCATAGGGAGATAAATAAATTCTATATGTGAAAACAATGAAAGGAGATCCAAGAAATTCATTCATAAACAGTAATAAAGGATGAGCAAAATAGATCAGGACAGAAAGATGACAAATTTACGAGAAATTCAAAAAATTACAATAAATTTATTCCTTGCATTTCTTCGCTCAAACTGTTGTCCATTGGCAAGTGACAACTGCAGTACAATCATCTAAATCAATAAACAGTGATGCTTAAAGATAACACCAAATTAAAATTGCAGATGGGCAACAAAGGTAATTTAAAGAAAAATATGCAATAATCAAATTGTATTTAGAGATTAAGGTGGATTCAGAATTAAATAACTATGCTATGCTAAAGATCTCTAAATTTACCTATGACTTGAATCATGATTCCCTTGTCTTAATTCTCAATTTCCAAACAACTAAAAATCAAATATATTTAATTAGTGACGTTTAATATATTTATTAGTGACGTTAGTTTGACATGAATATCAACATAAGCATTATGTTGCTTTGGTAGGTATTTGAACATTGATCTGATGACATATAGGGTTGCATCAGTGTAGTGGTTCGGACACATGCTTGCTAACCTGAGGAATGCGGTTTCAAATACCTGCATAGATGGGGATTTTTATTTGATGATGACCTGTTCAGCAGTCCTAAGGTTCACACAACCTTCTTTCCAAACCAATATTGGTGAATACCAATATTTATTGGCTTTATAAAAAAAAAGAAAAAAAGGATGTGGTTGAAGCATGACGCTTGCCATGCCATCTTCACCCCACTTCTAGACATATGACCACCTGAGAGACCTGTTACATTTTTTTTGTACAGAGGGCTATGGAAGTGGGGAGAAACTGTAAAAATGACTAAAAGGAGATTCCTAACATCTTCTAACCCTAAGCAGGTTAAACTTGCAGTGCTGAAAGTACAAGGGTAAAATAAAAAATAAATAAAATCTAATGACATAGTAAAAGAAATATCATTAAGCATGTAACTCATATTAAAGATTTAACAATGGATCCCTAAATCATTCTATTTCATTTCTTCAATACTACTGTAATTTCAAAAATTATAATTTATGCAATGCATGTTATAATATTACAATAATCATTTTCATCTTTTGATTAATTATCACTTCTGTCACCACTATTGTCTCCTTCACTGCATCCTTATTTTCTTTCCAATTTCTACTGCAAAATGTGTAATGTTAGGAATTAGTATTTGTTATGATAACCATAAGGAATGAGTATGAAATGTTCTCTAATTTTTGTTATATCGTTCTATTTTTTGTCATATCATCATGAATGTTTAAGGTAGTCTATAAGTCTGTTGACCTGTTACTTAATTTATCAATACTCCCTAGGTCGCTTCCAAGGTGTTCATGATCTTCCCAGCGCATTCTTGATCTGCCAGGATCTCTTCTTCCTCTTGGTTTGTATTTGTGAACTTTGCTTGAGAAACCTTCTGTCTTCATTCTTTTGCTGTGTTCTTGCCATTTCTATTGGTAGTTTTCAATTTTTGAGACAATGTTTTTGCTTTTATGTGTTTTTCATATCTTTTCATTTATCTTCTCTCTCCTTGAAACTTTTAAAATTCTCAGATTCAGATTCAGATATCTCACTTTAATTCATATTTTGTCTCTTTGCATCAAAATCCATGTTTTATTGAGGATTTTGCAACAATATTATGTAATTTAATTTTTGTGTGTATTCATTTAGAAAGTGTCTTTTGATGCATCCATTTATTTTGTTCTACTTTGTTAATTTTGATTCCATATCTCCCTCTATTAATGATCTTATTCCCCAAGTAGGCCTGTATGAACATTGACACTTGTTCTATTGTCTTATTTTCTGTAGCAATTTTGTTCTACTATATTATTTACCTATCAATCCCATGGACTTTGTGTTTGAGAGTGATATTTTCATTTCATCTTCCTTTATGAGCTTATGTAATTTATTAGCTGCACTTCGTAATTCTTCTGATGTTGCTAGTGTGGCATGATCGTCTGCATATATTATTGTTTTTATTTTCC